AGAAAGCAAAAGTGGGCCCAGGGAGATAACTCAGTAGAATAAGTGCTTGCTTGGCAAGCTCAGGGTCCTGAGTTCAATCCCAGGTACCACAAAAAAAAAAAAAAAAAAAAAAAAGTGAAAGAAAAAGATAAGCCAACTTAAAACCTTGGGTAAAGTTTATGAACACACATTTCTCCAAAGAAGACACATAAATCACCACTGAACACATGAAAAGATTCTCCATAGTGTAAGTCATTAGGGAAATGCAAATCAAAACCACAATGAGATGCACTTCACTTCCCCTGGGATGGCAATAATCCAAAAATGGATGAATGAACAATGAACTGGACATGTTGTACTCATGGGAGGCTAAGGTAGGAGGACTGCCACAATATCAAGGTCAGCCTGGGCTATATGATGAGTTTAAGGCAGCCTGAACTACATGGTGAGATTTTGTCTCAAAAAACCCAAACAACAACAAAAATGAACAATAGCAAGTGTTGATGAGAACATGGAGAAACTAGAACCCTCGTATAAGAATGTAAAATGGTATAACTCCTCTAGTAAACTGTTCAGCAGTTGCTCAATTAATTTTTTGTTCCTCAGAACTGGGGATTGAACTCAGGCCCTTGTGCTTGCCAGGCAAGCGCTTATTCTACTGAGCCATCTCCCCAGTCTTCAATTAAATATAACAGAGAAATTTTACTCTGATATACAGACCCAGGAAAAATGAAAACAAGTGTGCATAAAACTTGTAAGCAAATGCTTATAGCAGCCTTATTTATAATAGCCAAATACTATAATAGAAACAACCTAGATGTCTGTCAATGGACTAATGAATAAACAAAGGTGGTATGTTCATATAATTGTATTTGGCCATACAAAAGGAACAAAGTAATTACATCCTTCAAGTTGGATGAAACTGGAAAACATTATACTAATTGAAAAAAAAGCCAAGACATAAAAGGCCACATATTTTAAATTTCATTCACATGGAAGTCCAAAATAGAGAAGTATACAAAGACAGAGTAGATTAGTAGATGCTTAGGGCCAGGGGAGCTGATGGGGACATGTAATAATTTAAGAATTTCTTCTTGAAAGCTGGGCCTGGCTGGGTGTGGTGGTGCATGCTGTAATGCCAGCACTTGGGAGGCCGAAGTGGGTGGATGTCATGAGTTTGAGGCCAACCAGGGCTACATAGTGAGTTCAAGGCCAGCCTGAATTGCATATCTAGATCCTGTCTCAAACAACAACAAAAAGACAGGGCTGTGTATTCTGGTGCATGCCTATGATCCTAGCACTTGAGAGGCAGAAGCACAAGGATCACCAAAAGTTCAAGGCCAGCCTGGACTGCATAGCAAGACTTGTCTCAAAACACTCCCGAACCCCCAAAAACAAATAAACAAAAACCACTGAACTGTACACTTCAAATGGATAAACTGCATATGAAATTTATGTCAATAAAGCTGCTTTTTTAAATTATTATTTTTGTCTTTTTGAGACAGGGTTTCGCTATGCAGTTCAGGCTGGCCTTGAGCTCACTTTATAGCCCAGGCTGCTCTTAAATTCACAATGATCCCCTGGCCTCAGCCTCCTGAGTGCTGGGATTACAGGCATGCACCACCACACCTGGCAATAAAGCTGCTTTTAAAAAGCATTTACTTTTTAAAAAAGTGTTTCCAACTGGGCATGGTGGCGCATGCCTTTAATCTCAGCACTTGGAAAGCTGAGGCAGGATTGCTATGAGTTTGAGTCCACCCTGGGCTACATGGTGAATTCAAGGCCAGCCTTAACTGCACAGCAAGACCTGTATCAAAAGAAAAAGGTGTTTCCAAAGTCTGCCACTGCAATCAGGGGCACATATTATTAGAGAAATAACACTCTTGGTTCCTTGGCTACCTACAAAGGACTCCTCCCCAAACATGGCTGTTTTTAATGAGAAGCTAGCACTTCCCTGAATCACAGCCTAATTGCTTGTTTTTATGGAAAACATGTGAGGTCAGAAGTCAAGAAAAGGGACAGCCAGGCAAAGCAGTGGTGGCACATGCCTGTGATGTGAGCTACCCAGGAGACTGAGGCAGGAGGATTACAAGTTAGGGGCCAGCCTAGGCAATTTAGCAGGGCCTTGCCTCAATTTAAAAGAAAAGGAGGAGGGCTTGAGGACATAGTTCAGTGATAGTCCACTTGCCTAGCATGTGTGCAGCCCTGGGCTCCATTCCCAGCACTGGGGGGAGAGAGAGGGAGAGTGAGAGGGAGAGCGAGAGGGGGCGAGACAAACACAGAGAGAGAGAGAGAGAGAGAGAGAGAGAGAGAGAGAGAGAGAGAGATATGCAGGGCATACTGATCTTGCCCATTCCTTGCAAAGGTAGTGGCTAGCATCCACAAGCATGCAGGGGCTCCACGCTTGCCACAGGAGTAAGCCGTGGAAGGACACTGGACTGCCAGGGTCACCCCTCCCCGAAGCCTGAGCAGTCTCTGGCAGGTGGCTCAGCCTCCCGGGGACCTTGGCTGTGAACCTCAAGGACAGCCCTGGCCTCATCAGTGATGGCTCTTGCTACCTCTCTCATCCCACCCACACTGCGCTAGGCCCCAACTGACCTCTCAAAAGCCACATTTCGAGTGTCCAAGTGAGTGGAGACGATGGGGGAGGTGAGGCGGCTGGCCACATGTTCCTCGCTGGGCCGCATGGCAGCCAACAGTGCTTCGGGCTCATGTAGAGCAAGCCCTAGTGTCTCTGTGTGCACCACCTGCCGGTCATGGTCCACTTCCATAACCAGGGCTCCAGCCTCTGCCATGGCAGGGGTATAGGGAGGAGGGACATGTCATGGCTGGTCCCCACTAGCAGGCTACCCTCTGCCCCTTGGGGCTCACTAGTCCACCCACAGCCCCTGCATTTCCCTCCACTCCTGTGTCAGTTTCTACCTCTGGAAGGTGCAGAGAAAGGACAGCATCATCCTCAAAAGTCACCGAGAATTGGAGGGTGCCAGAGCTCACCCTGGCCCTTGAAGATGAAGCTCCTCCGGCCACGCTGCCAGGTCATGTGCTCAAAGCCCAGGAGACTGGTGTCCACTCGCAGGCTCTCACCTCGCTTCCACACACGGTAAACATCGCTTGGGCACATCTTGGACACGAGGGGCACTGGGGGAGCACCGAGGTCACTGGGAGCTCTTCCCAAAGGCCCCACTTTGTGTCCCTGAAGGCCAAATGATTCCACTCACCCCAGCTGGTGAACTCCCACTTCATCTCCACGTAGAAATCAGGGGCCTAAGAGAGAGCAGAGCTACCCATAAGGGTCTGGCCTGGTGGTGTTGGCCGGCAGACCCAAGGTGACACTGCTGCACTGTGATGGCCTGGTAAAGTTCCAATACAACCCCTGCCCAGGGAGACTGGGCCAAGTAGGGCTCTGAAATAGTCTACACATAAAAAAGCCACAAGCATCTGAAGACATGAGCCACTCAACTGGCCATAAGACATGGGGCAGTACATGGGTCTCTGAGGTCTTAGTGGCACAATGAACACTCCAAGGCTGCCCCGGGAGGGTATGAGGTACTGTGCTCTGCCCACAGGGCCCCTCTATCAGCCTGAGAAAAGATGGACAGGGCACAGAAGCACACATTTGAGGAGCCCAGCTATTTCTATTGCTTCCCTCCAGGAAACTTGAATTTTCTAGGAAGCCAAAAGCCTAAAGCTCTGTAGAGATTTCTGGCACATGGGACCCCTCCATGCAGGTGAAGGCTTTCTTTTCAAAGGGCCCAGTCTCACCCACATGACCCCAGTCTGGTAGGCAGACTACTGCATAGGTTGGATGCCCTTCTGAGACCAAGACTTCTATGGGGACCACACTGGTCTCCACCATGGTACCCTACCCCTCTTCACTGGCCACATCCTGGCTGTACCTGGCGGAGTTTGTTGAGCAGTTCTGGAATGCCAGCCAGCCTCTGTGTGGCCCTCTGGAAGTCCCGGTACTGGAGGACCAGCTGCACCATCTCAGGGTCTCCAGTGCTGACTGCCTCCTGCAGGACTGGGGGCACCAGCTGCTGAGGGAAGTCTTCCCAATGTCCCCGGACTTGGCAATTCACTCCTACCCACCAACCTTTCTCCCAGGCTCAGAGCAGCCCCCCTGCTCTCTGTGTACCTGCCCAGCCCTGGCGGCTCTCTTTGCCCACGTTGGCATTGTGCTGAAGGAGGACTCTCACAGACTCCAGGTTTCCTAGGGACACAGCCAGCTCCAGGGGAGTCCGCCCTCGGGGGTCTTCCTGTTCAATGTCGTGCTGAGGGAGACTGACACTTAGCACAGGGGAAGAGAACAGAGGCCAAGGCAGCCTAGAGTTTGGATGGGCTGGAGTCAAATAAGGATAGCAGTCCGGCCAGGGAGATGGCAGAGGGTGGTACCCATATGTCCAGGAAGGGGAGGGGCAGATGGGAAGCGCTTGCCCACCTCTCCTGCCCCCTGCCATGGTCAGCGCGGGCCTCCTGGTGGTGGGGACTGATCAGGAAAGCAGGTGAGAAATATCATGAGTTTTGGCCATGAGTTTCGTTTCGGTCTGTACTCAGCCTGGCTCTAGGTGATGGCGCGTGAATTACAGGGCTTGATGCAGTGTGAGGTGGGCAGAGCACGGGGTAAGACAGCGTGGGGAGACACTGCTCAAGAGCGAGGGCAGGTGATCTGGGCTTCCGATCGGGTTGGGAGCTGGGAGCTAGGATGCAGCTGTGGATGGAGATCGGAGCCCTGGGTGGGGTCCCGACAGACAGGGCCTCACCTGGCGACTGTGCAGCGCGGCCTCCAGTTCGCGGTGCCGGTTCGCCCAGACCAGCCGGTGCAGCGGGAAGGTGGGGCCCTGGCCGGCCATGCTGGGCCTCAGCGCCGCATCCTGGGAGGGAGGGCGGATGGGCGGGGGCGGCGGGAGCGGCCCAGCCCTTCTTGGCTTAGGGCCCGGCGCGGACCCCTTACCTCTGCTCTGAGGCGCACCCAAGCTGCTGCAGACCCACCGACCCTTGGCAGCCGCAACGGTAGCAGCCGTAGCAGCGGCAGCCGCGGCAGCGGCGAAGACGGCAAGGAGGGCGGTGCGGGGGCCCTAGCGGGCGGGGCTTCGCCGGAAGGGGGCGGGGCGTCAGGCCGAGCGCCCCCTCCCCTCCCGCAGCCATAGCAACTGCCCTAGCGCCGGCGCGCTGGCCAGGGGCGAAGGATGCTGCCTCCGGGCAACCACTTGGGCTCGGGAAAAGTGGGTACAGGGTCCCTGCCAGAGCTTTAGGCCCGCAACGGCCGTCGAGGGGGGGGGGCGTTTCAGAGGGCGGGGTCTGACTGCAGCTCCGATTGCGGCCTACTGGGGGCGCCCCCGGCCCTACACAGACCCCTTCACTCAGGTCCAGAAAGGGAGCAGAGGCCCAGGGGCAGGGTGGCTTCGCGGGGGACGCGGGGCAGCCCCTGAGTCTTGCTCCCGCTGGTCTGGGTCGTGGTTTACAGACAGGCCCACGCCCCTGTCTTCTGATCCCCAGTCCTACGGTCCCGATTGTGCCTGTTGGTGCAGGTGATCCATCACGGCAGAGTATAACTACCGAGAACTCTGAAGAATGAGCACCCAACAGCTTGCCCCTAAATGCTAGCTAGCTGAGCGTGAAGCCCCTTCCCCAAGGACTTGAGCCAGTGTGGTTACCACAACATAAGTGGGCAGCCCAGCGATGTATGTGTGTGGGGGGCATGGTCCCCAGAGCACTGGAATCAGGAATGGAAGTACTGGAGAGTAGGGACCTTAAACCTAGACAGTGCCTGCCTTGCTAGTGGACTGTCTGCGGTGAACTCTGCCTCTGCAAGGATCCTTTATGCAGAGTCTGCACTCTGCTGCATGTTAGGGCAGGAAGGAGAGTTTCAAAACAGTGCTGTCACATCTACCCACACAGGAACTAGGGTGCCAGCTTTGGCTGGCTTAGTTATGGCCCCTTGCTCAAAGAGGCCCAGGCTGGGAACCTTGACTTTGGTTTCATTGGGTAGTGAGGGTGCCGCTAAGCTTGCCAAATTGGAGCCTCTGTTTGTACATGGACTGGATACTATAATGGAGATCTGCCTCACTTGAAGGTCCCCTACTGCTCTAGAACATCCTTATGCCAAGTTTGCAAACTAGGAGGCCTGATTACCTCCACTCTTACCTTCCCTTATCTTTGTCAGGTGGTTCCTGTGCCATTTGGGATCACTGCCACCCACTCTGTGGTGTTATCAGGTCATCTGTGATGGCAAAAGGTCTGCTCAGCTCAGAGGCTTCTGAATATCAATATCCAGTGCTCTATAGTCAACCTTTGCTGGCTGCTACTGCGCAGGCTTCCGTGGCCTCCATCTTTTTCAGAGGCTGTCTCTTCCCCACACCCTCTTCAAACCTAAATCTAGCAGGACATTCTCAGGCCCAGCCTCTCTGGATTTCCACACCCAAACCACTTTCTCTATCAGTCTCTACTTCCATGAACAGCACTCATCCTCTCCCAGGGCCCTTCTGTGCCATCCTGATCCAGAAGTCTGACATCTCCCTGGCCAAGAGCCTGTCTGCTCCTATGGTCACCCTGATGCCACCTCCAGAGTATCTCTAAGCCCATGTCCAATCAGGGTGACAAAGTCAAATGAAGCTACATGTTCAGTTTTCCTCTTGGGTCAACTCCTGCTCTGTGCTGCTGTATTCTAAGTGGTACCACCAACCTTCCTCATACTATCCTAGATTCCTACCTGTCATCCTCTAACCTGGCCCATTCCTGTTGGGCCATGTTCTTTTCCTGGGCTTTTTGTCTCTTCCTCTGCCACCATCATGAGGATGTCTTCATTGGGCAGAAGTGTAGCTTGAGTCTGTCTCCTGTCCTGAGCTTCTCTCCCTACCTCCGGTATACAATGACCAGCCACTTAAGAGCCAGCTCTCCTCATCTCAGGCCCACCCAGAGTCTTCAAGGACTCCCCGGAGCTAGGCAAAGTTCAGACACCTTGTCCATTTTCATCTTTACTTTGCAGTTACAAATACTCAAGGGCTCTGTACTAGGTCAAGCCTGGCCTCTCAGGAGCCCCGAGGCCCACTCTCCCCACACTGGAGGCCCAGCTCAAAGAGAGATTCTTTCTAGAGCCCTAGGTGACTATCCCAGCAGTCTTTTTCTCTGCTGGTCATGCTGTACTTCAGCCTCCACCATGCCCAACAGAGCCTGCTTGCCATGTGCAGCGGCACACATTTGTCCCATCACTTCTGGGGTCAAGAGGCAGAATGTGGGGAAATGGTAGCAGACTCTGGGAGAAGCCTGATGGTGGGTCTGGACAGTGAGACCAGAAGGGAGGCCTGTCAGGGCCAAGTGCTCAGGAGCCACAGTGTGGCCTAGACAGATGAGGTGCCCTGGGATGCAAGGGAGATCAGCACCATGCCTGATGTGTAAGGGAAGTTCAGTAAGGCTGACACAGCCTAGTCAGTCCAAATGTGACCCCAAATGTGGAACTGCTGGCACCTCTTCCTGATTACGTGGGAAGTGGGTTGGAGCTACCCTCCTCCCTGGAGGTGGGGGATGGGCACTGTTTCACTATAGAGCAGCAGGATGAGGCATCTGGGGGCAGGCCGAGAGGGGTACACTCATCCTGCCCACATAGGGCCTGGATCTACCTGAAGACTGCTTTGGCAGTAGAGGGAACTTGGTGCCAGAGGACCTTCCTGCTTTAAGCCCCAGCCAGCCAGAGGCTGAAAAGTTATCACCAGGCACAAAGAAATTCCAAGACAGCGAGGAGTCAGGCACCATTTTTTATAAAAACGCATAGTCTCATTTTTCACTCTTTAAAATCACATTCAAAAATCGGCAAAGAAACGCCCCAGGAGTAAACGAGAGGGGATGGTATGTCAACCCAGCCCCTGGGTCAGGGGAGAGGGTGTGACACCACACACGGCAGCGCAACTGGCACAAGGGGGCATGCGGTGGGTGAGGTGGCACCCATGGGCGGTGGCACTGACAGGACATGGGCTGTGAGCTGGATGGCTGGGGTAGGGGCCCCCTCTCATTGTGTTACCAACCTGCCCAGGCTGGCCTTAGTCCTGGGCAGGGGGGCTTTACCGGGCCAGGGAGCCGGGGGCCAGGCTAGGCCAGTGGGGCCCAATCCACAGTTGCCCACCTGTGATCCTGAGCCCTGGTCCTCAATGGGAGGGAGTGAAGGCTGTGGGGAGGGCAGCAGCAGCCACAGCCAGTGCCACCCTCTTGGCTGAGCCCCAGTGTCCAGGGATGGGGTAATGGGGGCAGCCAGTGACATGGGCTTTTCCTAAACAAGGGCCCAAGAGCACTGGTTGCCATGGGAAGCCTCTGGGCCAGGGAGACAAGGGGCTCCCTTTTCTCACCAGTGGCTGGAAGGCAGGACAGCACAGGGCTCTATCCCTCTGTTGCAGGAGGGGGGTGGTGGGAAAGTTCAAGTAGTATCCCTGTGCTGCACCCTCCCCTGGGGTGGGGGACACTGGGATACCCGGCCGTGCCATGGGCAGAGCACAGCCCACAGAGCCTGAGGTGGCAGAGCTCAGGGTGGCTTCATTCCCTGGGGAGGGCTGCTGCTGTCGTCCACAGGAAGACACTGGGAGTGCATGGCTCCAGGGATCAGGATAGGGGGTGTAGGACAGTGGCTGAGGTGGTGGCAGCAGGAGTTGAGGCAAGCGGGCCCCTCCCTGGGGACTGGGCCAGGCTGGGGCCACAGGAAATCACAATAATTACAAAATAAAACCTTTTCCGCTTTGCGGGAAAACAAATAATAAAAATTCAACAAAATAAATTAGAGGTTTATAAAAGGCGGCGGGCAGGTGGGTGGATGGGTCAGAGGCCATTGGCACTGCCGCGCTGGATGAGCGGCACCTTGCTCAGCTCCACCACAGGAGAGCGGGGCTTGTTCTTCATCTTGGGCACACGCTGCACCAGCTGCTGGGCCTCACGGTAGGCGTCCCGCAGCTCCTTCTTCCACTGCACCAGCTCGGGATCACTCTGTGTGGGCCCAGGCTCCATCAGCCTCAGCTGGGCACCCCACTGTACACCCCCGGAACTCCAGGAACCTACTCACATCACATTGCAGGACAAACTGTTTGCCACCACGGATCTTGAGCAGGAGGCACTTGCGCTCCTTGATCTGTGTCTCCTCCACTGACTGGATCTCCTCCATGGTCAGCAGGCTCTGCTGCGGGGTGGGGGCAGGCAGTGAGGGACAGGGCTGGCCAGCCACCCTCATGCACGGTGCCCCGGCTAGCTACTTACCGGGGCCTCGCCCTCACCCCTCCATTCCAGCCGGTTAGGGAACAGGTAGAAGTAGCGCCGCTGCCACTGGGTCAGGAAGGGGTTGCCCATCTTGGACATGTAGCCATGCATGATGCAGTCCTTGCCCAGGGCATAGTCTGTCATGAGACACAGAGGGGGCAGGCCAGGTTAGATCCCATGTGGCCACTTTGTGCCTGCAACCTTGGGTGGGCTCCTTAATCTTAAGTCTGCTCCTCATCCCTATAGTGGGCAGTGAGCCCTCACCTTCCTCATGGCCTAGCTGCTTGTTTTTGGCTTTCTTTCGGGCTTCCAGCCGGTCAGTCTCAGCATTGATGGTGTCAAAGACGGTCTCTGCCACCTCCTGCTGCCACCGCTCCGAGATGGTGAGGGGGAAGTTTCGGTAGAGCTCCTGGTCACTGTCCAGTAACTTCACAAGGTAGACAGGGCAGGGACATGTGGATCCA